TCAGTTTGCTTACAAATTTGGTCTACTTCTGTTATTTTCTGCTGATTTTTTTTCTAATTGTTCTATCTCATTTGCGTCCATGGGATGTTAAGTTCCCCTGTTACAATTGTTTTATTTATTTTTCATGTCCATTAAAATTTGTCTTATAGGGCTGGAGAGATGGCTCAGTGGTCTAAAGCACCTACTTAGAACAAGCTTGGCTAAAGCACGGGGACCACGGTTCAATCCCCCAGCACCACATGCCAGCCAGCCCCGCCCACTGGTGGGCTGAGCTGGCCACACACACACACAGTAAATGTAAAATAAAATAAAATAAAATAAAATAAAAAATTTAAAAAAAAATAAAATTTGTCTTATATATCTGTATGCTCCCGTATTTGGTGCACATGTATTTATGATTATTATCTCCCCCTCTTGAATTTTTCCCCTACAAAGTATGTAGTGACCTTCTTTTTCTCCTTTGTTCATTCTTGCTTTGAAATTCACATGATCTGTGAATAGAACAGCTACCCAAGCTTTTTATTTCTCGATTTCTGACCCAAGAATTATTGTTTTTCATCCTTTGATTTAACATCTTTTAATATGCTGTTCTTGTAAAGAATTATGCAAATCTTGATTATTATATTTCTCTGTGTAAATTATTTTGGTTAAGGGTAATTAGAGTTGTGCATACCTCAGTTAACTGTATGTCAGATTCTTTTCCTATGGTTGGAAAATTTTCTGCTATTACTTCTGAAAATAGTCTTTTTATGTCATTTTTGTTGGGTCCTGCATTTTTAAAAATTATTTAAGAACTTTATTAACAGGTGCTGGCAGTTTGTTGACTTTTTTTTTTTAAAAAATCAAGTTCTAAACTTTTATTACAAATTAAAAATGAAGTTCTTAAAAATATCAACTTGATCAGATATGAAACAATTTAAAATCCTTTAAAGGTGTATTGAGAAAAATTAGGCTTTTTAAAAAGACATGTTTGTCATTATCAAAAAGAGATGTCTTTATGTAGAAATAATAAAAACCCAATGCTGCATAAATAATGCAGACGCAGATAGTTCTAGATATCTGGTCAATGGGCAAAAAGCACTTAAGGTCTTCAGTTCTAATCTTTTGTTCATTTCTTATTTCTGGAATTTGCATTCATTTCTTTCTTGTTGGATGACTAAACCAGACGATGGTAGAATTGTTAAGCTGGCATTTACTCAGCCTCGCCCTGCTCAGCCTCAGGAGCAGATGAATTCTCAGCTGGTGAGGGGTCTTCTGGGCATCTGTGTCAATATTTGAAGTTGCAATGGTACTGACGTTGAGGTGGCTGCTGACCTTGGGTCTCATCCCCTTCATTTTCCTTATCTTCTTCATTGCTATCCTCTCTAGGCTGTTTTTGGCAAGGAGGGCTCCTGCAGAGTCATGGTATATAACCTCGATACATAGTCTGTCTCACTTGTCTACTTTGTTCTCCTGCACCCTGGTTGTCAGCACCCTCCAACACTTCTCCTTGCACAGGAGAGTTGGAATACTGTGGTCAACGCCAATAGGGTCTCTGCATGTAGTGAAGTGGGAACCTTCACCTGATGTAGGGCCTGTGTTGGTGGATCTGGCCTTCGGGAGCACTCTCTGATCCTTCATTCTTTTTCCCACTCTCACTATTCTGGTAATTCTGCTGGCAATTGTGTGGAAGACCCCTATGATGTGGATAGCGTCTATAATGATTATGGTCTGCTGCACATTTACTGCCTTGAACTGGAGCTCCACCAGGGCCTGTAACATTTGCTGCCTCCACACTCTTTTCTCCTTCAACAACATCAAACTCCATAGTCTCTGTCTCCTACACTGCAAAGGTCCTTCCTGGGGTAATTCTTCTTTATGGCAGTCTGGTGTACAAATACATCTTCTTTGGTGTGATTCCTGTTGATGAAGCCATATCTGTTTCTTACACTGAACTGTTTTACTGTTCCCAAAACCTTCCTTGTGATGACCTTGTCCCCGCTGGCAGGCACCACCAATGTAAGGCCGCAGGGCTTCTGCTCCCTGCGCTTGGTGTCAGCAGCGCTAAGGGTGGAGGAATCTGGGGGTGGGGGTGGCTGCTGGGACTTGGCTGTCCTGCTTATGGTTTCGGTGATGGTGCCTGCTCCTGGGGTGTGATGGTTACTAGGCTGGCGATGGCGGTGGGGCTGCTCAGGGCTCTCTTCAGCCCATTCTCCACTTCACCTATGGATCGAACTAGGTCCTGCATTTTTGTTGACACCTATCAGTCTTATATTGCTCTTTGTGTCATCTTGAAGGTGTTTAATTTTTATTTACTGGCTCCTTGCTATTTTTAAATGGTCTTTACTTTCATGGTCACTAGCTGTGATGCGGTCTTCAAGGTCTGAAAAATCTATCTTCAGTTCTGTTCAAGCAGATTTGCCATTTTTCAATGGAATTTTTAATTTCCTGGATATCTCTTTGAATCTATTTCATGTATACTAATTCATTCCTATATTGTTCATTCAAGGGTTCCATCATTTTTCTGTGTTGCTCTATTCTTTATGTGTGTCTTCTTTAGATATGTTCAGCAATTCATCCATTATGATTATCATTTCTTTTTTCACCTGAGAGATTATTTCTGATCTCATTTCCTCTATATCTTCCTGGAGCTTTTTTTCTGCACTTCAGTTGCTATCATTTCAGAAATTTCAGGCATGTGACTTCTAATTTCTTCTAAGTTGGACTTGTTCTAGCTAGGCTGGAGGTCTAAAATTGAATTTTGCTCCTTTTTCTTGTCATTTTATATTTCAAAAATAAAATTTTAATTGGATGTTTTTATGATCCTTGGGAGTTTTGGTAGTAGGTACCTGTATCTCTATTATAAGACCTCTCTAGGAAAAGTCTGTTCTTCAGGATATCTTCTGTGTGTTGGAGATTTTTTGTTTGTGTGTGTCCTGAGATTGTTTCTTCCCAATTAATTGAGAGTGTGATGTTGGTTTCCATTTGGCTCTGTCCTCAGTCTTTAGGTGTAGGGCTGTGATGAAGTTATTACTCCAGTACTTCTGAATATTGTTACCCAAGGGAGAACAAGCGATTGCAGTATATATGACATTTTAGCAACAATAGTACAATCAGTAGTAATGACAGAATCAAGTAAAATTTAGAAGCTGACAAACTTTGGTAACTATTGATTTTGTAGTTTAGATCACAGGAGCAAAGTCTATAGTTATATTACAGAACAAATCATAAATTAAGAGTTTGTATGTAAAGTGTTTACCATTGTTAGAGTGGATTTACCCTGGGTTATTCTGGCTGAGCCAGTTTCCTGGCTCCAAGTGCTTCACACCTTGTAGTGGGATGTGTCTGGCATCTGGGTTCTTCTGGCTCAGCTGTTTGCTGAATCCAAGGTGCTTCCCGCATTGGCTGACCTTCTCTAGCCAAGCTGGCTCCTGAGCCTAAGGTGCTCTCTGCACTAGTAAACCTTCATGTAGTGTAGGGGGCTGGGTGTGGCACTGGGTTCCTCTGGCCAAGCTGGTTGCCAAGTCCCCCGAATTTCTTTTGAGTATCAACTTTTCCTTCCTTCCTTTTCTCTCTCTCTCTCTCTCTCTCTCTCTCTCTCTCTCTCTCTCTCTCTCTTTCTTTCTTTCTTTCTTTCTTTCTTTCTTTTTTTCTTTCTTTTCTTCCTGAACCAGGGATTGAATTTAGGCCCTTACACTTGCCAGGGAAGCGCTTATTCTATTTAGCCATCTCCCTGGCCCTTGAGTATCACTTTTTCAAAATTGAATAAAGACATGTGGCCAGTGTCTTTTATTTTGGAAAATATGTTTTCATTAAAAGTTACAGGTTTTGGTTTGTAAAGTTGAGCTTTATAAAATTAATAGGTTCTTCTCCACCTCTTAACATAATTTCACCTGTTATTTACATGTCAGAGTTTATAAGCCAATATGGATTTTTATATGATACATAAAGTCTATGTCCACCCTGAGGCTCATTCATTGTGCTGAAAATTATTTGTATTGGGACAAACATAAAATGATATGTGTTGAACAGATACATTATTTAAAATCATTTTCTTGTCCTGAAAATTAATTGAGATCAAGGCTGTAAATGTTTATGATTCTCTGCTCTTCAAAATTTGGATAATGGGAAATATAGACATCATTTCTATCTTTGATTCTCTGCTTTAGGATGAGTGAAAAAAATTTACTATTTACTTTTGTTCTCACAGAAGCCTAAATATTGGAAGTAGTCTTATCGTGGTAGCAATGAATTATGACATTATATTGAATAATGGAAAAATGAAGATGTCAGAAAATATGTTAAATCATGTTATTCAGAAATACATTTTCTTTCTGCTCTGATCTTGAGTTACTAACTTGTATTCTTTGGCTGTAGTGTAGTTATTTGCTACCTAAGTGATGGCAAGCAGGGGTGGCTGTGAATATCAGCACACGGGACTAGTACACAGGCAGCACAGCTAGAAGTCCTAGCTGGGGAGCGGTCTGTGGCTGCAGCTCTCGGTCAGGAGCCTGTCAGGTGATCCCTCCCAATCTCCTGCTTTGGAAGGCACAGTGCCTGCCATTTCTCACATGAGCTTCAGCCTTTTCAAACTATTTCAACAGAAACTTAACAGTAAATCCTCTAGCACAACACTGCTAGTGGTATCTGTGCCAGTGACTTATTGACAAAGGCTGAGGAGCAGGTGTGTCTGGGAAGAGGTGGCCCCTGGGATGCTGCTGTCAGTAGAACTGGATTAAATCATGGTGACTCCAGCTATGAAAATGATACTCAAGTATAATTTTGTTTTGTGTTTTTCTCCTGGACACCAAACCTCAGATATACAGCCCAGGGGGGCAATGGCGGCAAATTTCTCCAGGGACACTGAGCAGGCATTGTTGACAGGAGCCAGGGGCATCAGATGTCCACTTGAGTCAGAAACATTGTCACCTAGAATGACACAGACATAATATATTTATTTTACTGGCCACCAATGAAAGTTTCCTCTTCACTCATCCCTAAGCTTTGCATATACATCTAAGATGTTCCCTTTGATTGTCATCTTCCTTCTCCTGCAGCTTCTTGCCTTAGTGAGCACTTTTGATAATGAAGCCTGCCTTTACCAAAGGAGCACCAGCGTGCACAAGGATGAAGATGTGGTGATTGGGTTGCTCTTCTTTCTTTATGTCTACATATACTACACTGGTGTCTTTGATATGAAGCCTATGAAGGAATTCCATGTCATGCCGTAAGTGTCTTCTTTATGTCTTTATTTTATTCCTGGTTATCAGGATGAATTCTGGCTAGATCTCTGTGGATAGACACTTTAGCAATCTCTGTGATGCTATCCTGTTCTGTCTTCTCACGTTGCATGATAGGACTGTAGTTCTTTTCCCAGCCCCATTAGCTGTTTGAATGTGGGAAGAGAGTATTCTGTTTTTGTTTTCCAAACTTCTTGATTTCAGGGCTTGAGCCTGAGATAGACACCACTCTGCACTTCATTCTGTGGTCCAAGCACTTCCTCCTCCCCAGAGGCCACAGCAGGCATTAGGTCATGTTTTGTGGCCAAAGACTCCAAGCTCCTGTCATGGACTGAAGTGAATAGTCCATTGGCTATAACCAAATTTTCCCTTGTACAATTGAAGGTCTGTTAATGTTTCTTGATTTTTTTTTGAAATTTCAATTTTTCCTTCTAATTCTCATAATCTATGTTTTTCATTTTAATAAAAAAAGATAAAATAGCAATGAAACAGTTTCAAAATAGGTTAGTAGGACAGTTACAATAATTAATACATTGCATATTTTTGTCTTCATAGTCGTTAATCAGAATACAAGATGTAGACATGCTATCTTGTCTAAACAATATTAGTACAAACTTTTCTTCTCAATGAACTAAGAGAAAGTAGCTGTATATCTTAACT